TTTGAAAACAACAAGAAGTTTCATAAGTTGTATATCAACTAGTATTGCATCTCATTCTCGAGGATTTGTTTTTAGTGTCTTAGACCTGACTTGCATTGACATCCCATCAATCCCTTGTGACCCTCCCCCTCCCACGTCATGACGAAACAACCCATTTAATTGTTATCATGGATAAATTAATTCTAAGGATATGTGTGAAAAATGAATTTCCAAATATTATTTAAACAGCGAATGAGTGACGCGAGTGTTGTTTGATATCTTCTTAACGTTTCATTTATAATTGATTCATATTGTTCGCGAATTTTACATCATCGGTATTTCACGTGATCATATCATAACATGCAAATGTTTAATTGATATTAATAATAGAGATACAATGATGTAATCATTCAGTTAATTATAATTATTTTGAACATGCGTTTTTATGTTACAAGACAATATGGAAGTCTATCAATTTGACTCGTGAACATTGAATGCCTTTTTTATACATGGCAAACAACTTCATATTGAATGTAAATTGAACTTAATATTCACTCTGCTGCAACAATACAAATTATCCCACATAATTCCTCGACTTTAATATATATAATACGAAGTTAATATCGGAAATCATATCTCTAGTTAATGTGCGATACGAGGGGTGATCAGGAATTTTTGGACCGTTGGCTCTATTTTTGCCATTTTTTATCCTATCTTAGTGATTTTTCACACATTATAACCCAAATATATATAATCACACCATGAAGATTTCATTGTTCTATGACATCATCATCCATTTATTTTAGTTACCATGCTAATCAGTGACGCAACAAGGTGGAGCTCAGAAAAATACCGAATTTGATAAATGAACAGTAATTTTCTATGGTGTTTGGACACTGTACTCATTGCTGAATATGTGACATACTGTAATAGGTTCTATTATTTCATTAAGTATATTCATTTATGTTCACTGTAACTGTCAATATTCTTCCATCAATTCTAATCCTCCAAATAAAAGTAGTTACCAGCATTTTGTAAGCATTTGTTGTGGCTTTTCACCCACTCCTGAAAGACATGAAACAGACCATCTTTGCCTACAAAATGTGATCGATTCCATCGGTTGTAGCCGTGTACCACACGCACCATATTCCCCAGATTTAGCTGGCTGTGATTTCTATCTCCTCCCCACAGCGAAGTACAAATTACGAGGTATCCACTTTAAGGACAGTTGGGATCTCACACACCAATGTTACAAAGTAGGCAAAGACGGTATCATGTCTTTCAGGACTGGGTAAAATGCACAACAAATAGCTTACAAAATGCTGGTAACTACTTTGAAGGATTAGAATTGATGGAAGAATAATGACAGAACTGTTACTATGAACATTAATGAACACAATAAATGAAATAATACAACCTATATATCGCATATTCAGCAATGAATACAGTGTCCAAACATCATAGAAAATTATTGTTGATTTTTCAAATTTGGTATTTTTCTGAGCCCCACCTTGTAGAGTCACCGGTTATCATGGTAACAAAAATAAAAGGATAATGATGTCATAGAACAATGAAATCTTCATGGTGTGATCCTATATATTTGGGTTATATTGTGTGGAAAAATCCCTAAGAAAGGATAAGAAATGGCAAAAATAGAGCCAACGGTCCAGAAATTCCTGATCACCTCTCGTATATTTATCATCATTTATTACACTATACTACATAGCCGTAGCCAGCGGGGGTTCGGTGGGTTCGAACGAACCCCCGGTCAGGATTTCCCAAAATATCATTTTGCGGAAAAATGCATATAACCAGAATCATTAAATTACTGTGCTATTTGAAAACTACATATATGAGCAGTAAATGAATTGATATTTGTTATGGTGAACACGAGAGTATTATTTTCTTAAAAACATGTCATAGTGAAGTTACACTTCCCTCAAAACGTTTAGCATGCTTCATCTCGGACAAAATAACCCATCTTGGGCAATGGCTAAATCAGTCCTTTGTAGGAATTTTGTTTTAAGCCAGTTCTGGTCCAATACGAAGTTATTGAAAACAATGCAGACGTCCCATACTCCGAATGATTTTTACAACATTGGCGAATAAATATCTGGAATAGTCGGAATATTGATGAAACACATGTTCTTTCAAATGTGTACATCTCTGTTTTGTTTTATTTCGATTAAAATTTAAAATATTTCTTGGGGCGTCCCTGGGGCTGGCAAGTCCCCGAATTAAAAACGTTGTGAAATGAATTATTTAAAAGCGTATATCATTTATAAACACAAGCATTTGTTCGAATTCATTCATTCTTTCATTTGTTCAGTATTTATTTATCAATCACTTTCCAAAGAAAAATCAATCAATTTTTTTCCAGATACACTCCACTCATCTAAGAGATTGTATAGAATTCAAATTGTTATCGTTCCAGTTTACTTGCTCTCCATTTTCATGTTAATGTCATGATATGTTTAGCGAATATAATAAAAAAAACATTGAAAAATTATATGGTATTAATCTTCAAATAATGAAGGCCTAATTTGTTATCAAGCCGTCTGAACTTAACAAAATAACAGTGCTTGTATTTATGTATAATTTTATCCACTAAAACATTTTTATTATCAATTGCGGTTGATCTGCTCTGGGGGACTTACCACTGAGCTCCGATGACGTCCAAAGAAATATTTTTAACTTTTTAAAACAAAGCATAACCGAGACCCACTTATTTGAATAATAGATATTTTCATTAGTAATACGACTATCCCGGATAGTTTATAAAGCCTTCGTGTAATTAAACGTTGTGAAAAGTTATCATAGAAGAACGATCTTTCGGAGTATAGGGTGTTTGCATCAATTTCAATATGTTTTCCTTGCATTTGATCCGAACTGGCTTCCAACAAATTTCCTGAAAAATTATGATAAGCTATTGCATGAGGTGATTTATTTTGTCCTAGATGAAGTAGCTTAAGTTAAAGAATAAATTGTGCGAAATAGTTGATATTCCTTGAAAACAAATCATGCTCCAGGGTCTTCCAGAAATCAGTCGAAATAATGGTGGATTCGGGGCAAATCAGATTTCAGGATATGTATTCAGTAAAAGATTCACCGAAGTATATTTCGATGCAGAAAATTAATTATAAGTTGTCTGACTTTTTTGCACGTTGCCTGTTTATTTTACTTTGTGAACATTAAAGTTGCAAAGCTAAAATGTCATTTTTGAAAATCATTTTTTTCTCGTGTCATTCCTTGTCATGTCTATTTTCTAAAAATCACAAGAGTGCATACTTTATTCCAGGAAAACTAAATATACATGTTGCTTGTAATTTTATCACCCCCTATAGATCAGATTCTGCCTTTAATGAAGGTATTGAAATGAATTATATTTCCCCTCCCAAAATAGTTTTTTCTTTACAAATTATGCAAATAAGAATTCAAACTTAAAGATGCTTTAATACATAATCCAATGGGGTAGTTAGGATTACCAAACTTTTGGAGGGAGTGTAATTGTACAAATTACATTATACAGAAGGGGGGTTGGAGATTTGTGAATAACATAAAAATAGAACCCCCGGTCACCAAATCCTGGCTACGCCACTGTACTATGATGTAAATACTATACTAGTATGTAAGCACGAATACTGAAACGCAGCTAGAAAATTAGATCATTTAAAAGTACAATCGGAAAGGAACAATGTCTACCCCCCCCCCCTTCCCCAACATTCAGTAACAATTACCACAAAATCTAGGAACACGAGGCATTTCATTCATACTGAAACATTGTTGTGTCAATAATTGGGAAGATTGATGACGACGCAGCATAAGGTTATGACTATTTCCCAGATGTTATATACGTGTATGTATTGATTTACATTCTATCAGTTAACAATTATATGGAGTCAAATGCAATCTAGAAAAATAGATATAAATATAATATGCAGGTTTCAATATACATGTTTTAACATGTAGGTTTTACTGTTTTTTACCTATTATTACTTCGAGATATCCACTTCGAGATATCAATATCCACTTATTGGAACATCTTTGTTCACTCTGGTTATGATAACTTTGTTTTGTATTGCTCTTTCATCGTTTACAATTGCATTTCATGTCTAGATCATTTAAATATAATCATAGAAGGTTTTTAATAGACTGCAGTCCTATTTTACATTACGTCTCTTTTGCTGTTAGCTTTCATGATTTGGCTCCCCTCTCCCTAGAAAAGAATCAATGGGTTGAGTATACTGCAAAAGGACTTACATTCGACATCTTATAAGATGGAATAACCTAAATTAATCGATTTACTAACTACATATTACATACATACAAAGCCAGCACTTTGTCTCCATGAACATGGCGATGCCAACTGGGGCATGTTTGTAATTCTGAAACTAAAACACAAATATCAATTGAACCTTAATATGATTTGCTTCGAGACTAAGTTGGTGTATTTAAATTGAACTGTAGGAGATATAAATTATGCATGTGCAACGGAATGTATGCATAATAAGCTTTGGATGCTCAATATTTTACCATTGATATCCATCACGCATGCGCATAGACGATCAATAATATCCTCAGAGGTATTTTGAATGCAGCTTTATTGATAATCGAACCGAACACTGGACGTTAATACACAGTTACTTGAACCGAGGATTTTTTGGATTTCGTGACATTTCCCCCACCTTTGAGGATTGTTCATCCCAGATGATGGGCTATAATTGTTATAAACATTTACGATAAAATAGAAATTAACGTCACCATAAGGAATACACTAATTCTGAACGATAATCCACAAACAGACTGACAGACTGGAACAATAATATTAAATGGGGAATAATAATTACAAGAGAACAGACTAGTATCATTGAAGTCATATTACATCAGTGTTTAAGGATAGATATTTGATGGAAATAAACGCTAACGGGAACGATGTCTAAATGCCAGATCATAGTCTTAGACCATACATTAAGCATATGTAGAGACATTGTATCTAGAGTTTTACTTTAGCAGTAGAGGTATCCTGAATTATCCGACATGGAGGCATTTGCAAGGTAGGCTGGCTGCATGTAGGGATAGTAATTGTAATTTTTACATCTGCATCTTCTGATTATTTTAAGCAAAGTTGTGTGAGTATGATGTATCTTCTGTTTTCTTAATTGTCTTTTGACAAACCAGTTGGATATTTCACAATGAATCATCATTCCATCATACACTTATGAAAACACTTTAGCCATCTGTTACGCCGTATACATTCCAGACTACAATGTCAGGGAAACAGGAACTATATCATTAACTCGTTGATGTCCTATATACACCATTGCAATATGTTATGGTATGACACAGTCACCTCTCATTTGGTTTCTGAATAAGATAATTAATGATCATATACTAGTAAGCGTTATGAGTGTAGGTCCTTCATAATCGCAATCACAATCATAGCGCTAAAAGCCCCTTCACCTTATATGTTCAGAGAAGTGGTTTCGAATAGGGTTCAAGCCATCGTTGTCCATTATAATGAATAAAGTTGTTATTATTACATACGTATTATTACGTATGTTAAGTTATCATTATGTTTCATTGTTTATGTGACACTACTGTAAAGGTAGGACGCGTTTGGATTGCAATTTATACATACATTTATACTCAATATTAGTATTGATTGTATTGTTTCGTATTATGGAGACAGATTAAGTCATTTTCATAGAATATATTATCTTATAATGTCTCTTGATGCAGTGTGCTTTGGAACAGTATGAACTGAAGTAGCCCGTGGTTTCTGCATTTTGATTCACAAGGTTTCAGTCGTTCCTACCTCAGGTGTTTAAACCCAGTTGAAAGCGATCGCGTTGTTTCTAAAAGAGCCCTATGGTTGTGGCTTAGCTCTCTTAAACTGGGAAAATGATTAGACAAATTTCTTGATATTTGTTTTTCTCCTCCTTCAACAAATAAATTGACTTCATTGTCATCCTAATGTCAGAGTGCATGCCCGAGTGCATGACATGTTTAAGGTTTGAATATTGGACATGTGTGGCGTCCTAAATGTTGCACTTTGTGCTTTCTTAATATCGACACGTTTATTTTCATCATTTCATGTTTTCAAAAATAACCCAGACGTCATAGACACTCAATTTACCCATTTGTTCCCCATGTACAAAGACGTGACAGGATGCCCTATGTCTGTCACAACACTACATTCATCCCTACTTATCATCGAACTAGGTGTGAACCCCATATATTTCGCCGACATTAGCATTAATTGTAACTCATGATCCGTAAATCAAGCAATTTGAGCAAAATCACGATTTCTTCATTTCTTTGTCGTTAATTCTCCACCTATACGTTCATATATCGGATAGGTAGATATGTAGATCAACTAGTCAAGTCATGATAGCTTGATTGATATGTAGATTTAAAATATGAGTCTTTTCAAGAAACGGTGTGACGACTTCGGTTCGAAAATGGTGATTGAGGTTTTGGGTGTCAAGGGGGTGTTAAATATTCTGATTGTTTGTTTTCCTTACTTACTGTGTTTTGTAACGCTCTCTTGTCTTCCCTTTTTGAACTTGTGCTTACGTATTTGTAAATTAAAATCGTGCTTTGCTTGGTTTTTGATATAATTTATCAGGTTCGCGTTGCGTTTCAATACAAGGGTTGCCACGAGCTTCTATTCTAATAATCATCACTTCTCTCTTGCACTAGGAACATGCTCTGATATTATGAGACATGTTCTTTGATATCAGCCCGATCTTGATGCGATGATTAACAAGTGACTTCCAGTCTGCGTCGCTTGGATCACCAAATCCAAGAAATAATACCATGATATATAATGGCTTGGAAGAAATAAGATGTCATGATTTATATTGAATGATACCTACCTACATTCTGTAGTATTCACTGTTCTTCTCAGTAACTATTACACAGAGAGAGAGAGAGAGAGACCATGAACAAGCTATGGGATTCGGATGAGAAACGATGATAATGCAGTTTCATCAAATTGATTGGACATGTGGTCTCCAAACATTGAAACTTCATCTAATATCCGTTTCTATCGTTTTTAAGGCAATGACGATTCTGCACTATCGCAATTTCATGTTTAGTACTTATTATCGGAGCTACAACCTATCGATCGATATTCTTGATAGATTGATGCTTCGTGAAAACCTGATGTGTTGACGTTTGAATCAACTCAGTTCTAGCATTTTCTTGTTCAACTTGAAGTCGTGGGTTTTTCAGTGTGTATACAGGGTGATCCAGAAGTACGATCTTGATCTCCTACTTATGGGTCACCATGTAAACCATGAATATACATAAATTCTTATGAAACCAAGATTTATCTGTAATCGTTGCTATCATCAATGCTTTACCACTTAAGACAACATCTGCACATGCTACAGTAATGCCATTTAATCTTGAATGAATAGAAATATCAAAAATATAGCTAGATCTATCAATCATTCAACTGAAGAAAGGCCGTAATAACGGATGTCTATGTTGTTTCATATTCAATGATTTACGTCTGTTGAATCTTTCAAATATGAAAGGAGATACCATGTTCATTGATGCAAAACGAAAGGTATTGATTTTATAACTACTCAGAAGGTCACTTGAACCTTGATACACGTCAATCAGCTGAAAAAACTCAATATGATGTACATTCCCCTCCAAAAGTTTGGCAATAAAGGAACGAAATAAATTAAAACAAAAAATGACGTTAACATGGTGTCTATTTAGTTGCAAGATTTATGGAGGAGAATGCACATACTTATTTATCTGATGCTCATAAATGTGCATCTAGGTAAGCTAATCTAGTCATAGATTGATATTGTAATGTGTGAAAACACAAGTCAGAATATCTTCAGACACAAAACTTATGAAACATTATGTGAGTGGTGGTTTTTTGTGTCACGCGGTACCTGGAATTTTGTACCTTGTATTCTATGCTGGAATAGATATGTCTATTCTTGGATCTTCGCTACGCCTCTGATTTGGGCAAAGGTGGTAAAAGAAGCTAAGAAAGCTCAAAATACAATGACAAAACACAGCGAGTAAATCAAATATATAAGAGCACAGCCAGTCACAGCTAGGACAACAAACCACCAAGATCTCGATAACAACAATACAGTGAATACACTCTCTGACAGTATGCTCATTACAGTTTCATTAGTTCACTTTTGTATGTGACCTATTGTACAATCAAAAAACCACCAAGATCTCGATAACAACAATAGAGTACAATGAATACACTCTCTGACAGTATGCTCATCACAGTTTCATCAGTTCTTTTTCGTATGTGACCTATTGTACATCAACAAACAACCAAGATCTCGATAACAACAATAGAGTACAATGAATACACTCTCTGACAGTATGCTCATTACAGTTGCATCAATACACTTTTGTATGTGACCTACTGTACAATCAACAAACCACCAAGATCTCGATAACAACAATACATGAATACACTCTCTGACAGTATGGTCATTACAGTTGCATTAATACACCTTTGTATGTGACGTACTGTACAATCATGTATGAACATGATTATCATCCTTTGGAAGGCATGTTTAGGGATGAACTTAATTGTCTCGTTGCTTCAACAGAGCACCATGATTTGCAGTAATGCTAGTGCAGGATGCTAATGCCACATCAACTTAGATTTGATTGGTTGGTTAATGAACCCAACTCTGTGTTCGTGGTAGTTTAAGTAAGGCCATGTGTTGGAAGAGTTAAGTTGTCACAACAACTATATCCCGTTGCCCCCCCCCCCCGCCCCTAAGAAGAAGATTCTCAACTCGATGCCATTCTGATACCCATATCTTTCTATTTCACCTGAAACATGATCCCAGGGCTGAGAAAAAATGAGATGTCATGGTTTATCATGATGACTCGATGTCAGCATTTTGCCAATTACAAAGTCTCCCATATTTTTTCCTACCAAGGTGTTGCCCCACCCTCTCAATCCATCTTCCATTTTATTATTCAGTAGGATGTAAAACTTTTCCTCATCCAAGATTATATTTATTCCCATACTCGTTTCCCCGATCCCCCAGGTCGTCATTAGTCTTTCCCTTTCTCCATTTTTACATATAATTGCGTTGTATATGGATAACAGAGAACCGTGTTCACCTAAGGTTGCATTGCTACCCTTTGCATTCGTTCGACTTCACTTCTTAGATAGATAGCTTCGTCTTCGTAGTTTAAAACTAGACTCTGCGCGCAGGGTAGGTATATACATAGTGCCAATGCCAATCGATGGTACGGTTTGTATTCTGCTAATGTATGCTCGTCAATGCACAATTATTCAATAATCCAGCTTTGTTGATGCACAATGACACAAATCGATTAGCATCTCTTAGTATGTCATGATGTAATTTCGTTCATTCTGCAATATAGCATACTCTGTACTGCTTTGGTGGCGCATAAGCGTTCTTTTGGATAATTATGTTTCTATCATCCTCTTTATCATATATATTCTACTATTCTCTATTAGTACTTTATCAAGTTGGGATAATTGTAGGTGTCAGAATAAAATAATTTTCGATTACATTTGTGGAGTGTTCTCCCATGTAATGTTATATAGATCGTTTGTATTTTGGGCCATTTTTAAAGAGTCATTATTTTAGAAATTGAAAATTACGCATGTATCAAGTGCATAGTGCAAACACAATATCCGAAGACAAGTGTTGAAGGGAAATACCAAAAAGTGTTAAAACAGGGATGGAAATGGAAAACTTCCTCCATTATAAAACATCCAGAGACCACAATCACATTCTAAAACCACAAACATTTTTTGTATGGCACAAACATAATGTTATTTTTCAAGATCAGACCATTGTAGCCACAACAGAACTAGTCTCTAGCCTCTGAATGTTTAATTATTGTAATTGTGTAATTTTCAATAATATGTCATTAATGGCACAGGAAAACATGTGTAAAGGAATTAATAGATGCGATGCTTAATTATATAAGTTTATACTCTCGTTGAAGTTGAAGTTTATATAAAATTGAAATATATTTCAGTTGATATGACATAAACGACATTTGATGTGACATAATTGACATTTATTGGTATTACGCCAATAATATAATTATGGAATTACGAACTGTATGTCTCATTGAAAATCCAAACCAGTCTACGTTTGACCTTTACAAGTCGGAATCAGATCAATATTGCAAATAATTCTGGAGCACATGTAGACCTAATCTCAACTGACACCTTATATCCTAGAATATCATTAACTTATGCCATGTTTACACCAATAATGGTACCAAAGACTAAAGGTATACTCCTAAATACATAAATACAAAGTCCAGAATCATTATCATGAAGCAATGGCGCCATTTCTTCCATTTGTAAATCCATTCATGAATTCTACTATTACATAATGTTGTATTTTAGATATCATTTCGCCATGTAGATTTTATTTACCTCAACATTGAGTCAATCTGTTCTGTTATGTTCTTGTCACATCAAAAAGCATGTATAGCCAACAGGACTCAATATGCATACCCATGTGCTCTATAGTGTCTCTCGTCTTTCGACCCGGGCTTACGACACCCAAAATGACAAACCTAACCATTGTTTTTAATGCTTTCCAGGATGGCCAACTTCTCTGCAGATTCGAGTGGCGGGGACGAGAGAGGGAGCAAGGAGAATTCGCTGAGGAATCTCACCAAAAGAGCCACAAACCTTAGTCTTCCCGGCCTCGCTGGAAACACGCGCTCTCTGTGGATATTTAGCGAGGAAAATTTCATCAGAAAGTACGCTAAGATTATCATAGAGTGGGGATATCCTTTTTAATAAGTTAATCACCGCTTGTGGAATTATGAAACGGATATGGATTTATGAAATGGATTATGCACTTTCACTGAACTTTTGACGACGTCTTTAAGTAAGTATGACTGAGAAAACTAATCAAAACAGGAACCACGTGACAATTGGGTCACGTGATGTGGTGTATCCAATCAACCACTCAGGTAAGTAAGTGCTGATTCAGTGATACTAGTGGAGCTTCCTCTTTGTACGAATGTTAGGCTTGTGATGGATGGGACATGTTGAAGTGATGACTGTTTGGTTATGCTTGATTGAGCTGAACGTCTCAGTGGGAATATTTTCAGAATCAGCTTCGACCAGAGTCAATATGATTTATATTTCCCAATATAAGTATTTTTCTTTATTTAAAGTACTCATATTTTGCTTTAAATGAAATATACTGTCTCAAAGCAAAACTTTTGGGACCATATCCTTTTGACTTTGAAATATTATATAGAGACAATATATGTCCTCTGGTACAGGTATGTTATCAACTCCTACACATCTTCTACAGTCTTAAACATCTTAACATCCCTAATAACATCCCCTCTGGCCTACAACTGTACTGAAGATATCTGTCTTCTCATTAGCGCGAGTAGATGTCTTCGTTTCATTTGAGATAATTATGTGCAAATTACAAGGCGATCAATATTCGGTTCTCGAAATGTCGGAATCCGTAATTGAAGTCATATTTGAACAGTAGAGAAACATGCAATCATAAAGGTTTGTGGACCATTCAGGCAAACATTTTTCCCGGGATCAATTACAGGGTATAAGGAGTGTATCGGCATGTCTTTTGTAGTCATATCAAGGTACTGTATTCAGTAAATGGTGTTGTATGTCAGATAATTATCTTTAGTCTGTGTCTGATGCAAGTGTTCCATGTTTTCAATTACCTGTTCAAATAATCGTTTGATTGCAGGTTTTAATCGTGAAGCTTCGCTTCTATCATTGTTTTGACTGCTACGACTTATTTTGGATGTATTTTATTGAATGCAATATTTGGGATATTGGATGTTGGTTGTTGGCTGTAAAAAGATTTGAGTGGGCATTCCTTTAAAGATGTTAAGCTAATCTGTGTATTTTCTGATTGTATTGTTCTGAAATCTTCAATAAGGGTTTGTCTTACGTATTTTTGTAAGACAAGTCGTCATTCAGAAATCCTCAACTCCCCAATTAACTAAATTTGTCCAGATGTCCGAAGGACATACTCAATGGTATGAATATAATTTTGAATCTCAAACTTGTATGGTTTGTTGAAGATAACAACCGGGAATAAGTCTCCCTCGGAAAATATCTATATATCCCCTCTGTCCCTGTGGTCCTTTGATATAGATATATCCCTCGCGATAAACCCTAATCCTCCCTGTACATAACCTTCATTGATTAAATTGTTTAGTTAAAATACACCTAACAGGAGTGATTAATATCATAGGTATCGAAGAAACACCCCCAACAGTAGTTTATGATAGTTCTAATTGCAACGTCGAATCCTCGTCTATAATTAATCATCTAGACATGTCAACCCAATAAGGTCGATATGGCGATTATAGTCTCATGTATATCGATGATAATATTGTTTTACGTAGCAGGGTATAATTAGATTGACATACGGTTCGACGTTATGAAGTGTTTATGTTTTGCAACTTGTTATTTAACTTTCACGATTTCTTATACATTGATTAAATTAGGTGTGGTTACCGATATAAATTAAATGATGTATTCTTGTTTTTAACACTTATTTATAGTTTGATACCAAGTCGATCGCATTTTTATTATTGATTTGGCAAATATATGAATTAACTAAAAATGCATGGGTTTGAGACTAGATGTTAAAGGATTTGTGCTGCTCGTATTTTCAATGTTACACCCAGTGGTTTCTAATTAACACTCCGATCATCGTATTCATCAACGACGAATGAGTAAATATTTGGACACATCTGTGATCAATGCAATGGTAGGGAGGCAATTCTAAGTTTTTAAGTTGTACATGAGGATGAAGGGTATAAAAAATGGTGATTTGTTGGAATGACAAAAATACGATTTTGGGAGGAGTGTAGGTGTAAAACATTTATCATTGTCTAAATGATATTGTCATTGGGTACCCTTCTTAGTTGTGGAGGCAATGGAATAAATTTGCTGTAGTTACTTACATCCGTTTCTTAATTTGGCATCGTATGGGCTCATGACTTCTAATTCTACAGAGCTGAAATCATAAACAACATTCCAAATGTTCAGTATATCTTAACTGAAACACACAAGTTAGCCAATGATAATTTTCTGAGCATTTCTCGTGAGATCAAAATTTGCATGATACTGTAATAATTCTAGCTTCAGCTTTCAGCATTTGCATTTAAATCGTGATTAGTAGGATAACGAGTTCTGTTATTTGTATTTATAGATAAACATGTCTCATCAGCATTAGTTGTTGGACATCTGTATTACAAATACTTGCATTTTCTCAAGGTCGATTTGCGTGTCAACAGTGATTAATGATATCGTTTATCGTCTGTTTATCATCTCGTCTAGTGTGAGCTAAGCTTATAATTTATAAATGGTTCACGATGTTTTGTTTTCCATATATATTGTATTATCATATATATCATATTTAAAAAATAAGGACGACCCTTTCAATGTGAATGGAGCAATGGACAACTCATCCATTAGACAAGTCATCTACTGTCTCATCACAACTCATCCCCTAGACAACTCATACCCTGGACAACTCACCCTTTGTTACATGAAGCTAAATTGCAAAGTTTTTTGGGAAAAGAAATATTAAATAGATATAAAAAATAAATATTATTTTTCACTTTATTGACACAAAATTATGAAAATACTTATTTGATATCAGTCAAACGATGCCAGTAAAGCTCTCGTCACTTGTCAGCTAACATGACAAAAAAATAAAGTTTTCTTTCTGCATAACTTGGAAACGTGAGCTTTAGTAACTTCATCCATGAATGCTGCAGAAAAATAATCTTTGGATCAAAGAATATTTGTGTTATGAACAACAAACATATTTATGACATCAAAGGAGCTTCTTCAATCAATGTTAATATAATATTGAAATTGTATATTAAAAGTAAATCAAAAGTAAATATTTACAAAACAAATCACAGATTAATTGGTTGATTATCTCCTTGGCAATATCATAATTTTTTAATAAATTTTAACAATTTTACAGATTTCCCATACAGAAAGTCTTTGTTCATGTAATATATGTTTTTGAAACTTAAAACTGATCATATTCATAACCAAAACATTTCAAAATCATTTGAATATCAAATATGAATTGATAATATAACATTAAGCTACACAAACAGGCCAAAGGATGATTCGTCCAGGGAATGAGTTGTCTATGCTAGGGGACGAGTTGTCTGGTTACTGAAACAATGATAATACAAAATTTCCTTGAGGAAAGAAGGTACCGGGTGCATCTTGAATAATGATCAAGGTCATTGCGTCTCTGTCATATCATTCGGTAATGACGCAAAAATAAGAGGATTAAAAGATCACCAAAAGGTATAATATTTATCTATTGACGGAGGAATGGGTAAATAACTTAAGAAATTATCACAACCGAACAAGGTGTTGCTTTCTGCGATATTTATATTGTGTGAAAGTGTTCCATGCATCATCTAGAATGAGCCTACTGACCAGTTTGAAAAGAGACTTCAACTTATCTCTGTCTTTAAAATGTTCTTGTTTAAATAAATTATAGGATATTGAACGAACAATATTAGTTTGATGCGTCGTTACAGTTCATTTTTGGTCTTGGAAATGTAAGGTCATAATCACTCAATGGGTAAGAATAGAAATCTTCCAAGGGGATTTTATATACGTCATAGTTTCTTCTGAATGTGGTAAATTTGATTGCATGAATGCCTTTAATCCCGCCTATACTGCAACTAAATGATGCAAGTATTTTTTCAGATGAAAATTTAACCTGAAGTACCCAACTAGCCTACTTATTTGATTAAATAAGGTGTTATTACACCTTGGAAGCTGAAGATGTTTGATTATGGCAATATAGAGATTATATTGATGCATGTTATCAATGCTCAACGAAAGGTCATTGTACTTTGATGACGTACTGTTTTTATTATTTTTTTCATTTCTCCAACGGAAACCCAAAAGTCCGGAAAGCCGTTCAATATTTTAGTATCAATTCATTAAACAAGTAAACACAAGCGTCATAATATTAAAGACAAAAGTGTATCTTGAAATGAACAAAGAGAAAATGAATACTTAACAGTATAACCTGTAACAAGGAAACAAGATCCAGTATCCTAAAAGTATCATTCAAAGATACAGTTTCTAACACCACCCTCCCCACCATTCAGAAAACCACCATCACCATCAAAAACCTCAAAATCATAGGACATTTCATTTATACATTTTAAAATAGTTGTGAATACTAGTACTCATACAAGATAAGACAATCAATCTCATGAAAATGATGTGGGACAGATTCAAAAGACCAGTCTCAAAACCCATAAAAGTGCTGCCAAGTATGTTAACGCTTTTAACTTTTCTATGAACTGGTAAATGATCAGGAGAATTGCTATACTGTAGTATTTTGGACTTTATCAGAACTCATCCTTGCATCGTTGACTATTGAGGAAAATGAGGCCCAAAGGTTTGGATAAAAATGTTTGATGGTTTAAAGTTTAAACGAAGTTCAACAGTCACATATATCACGGTACTAACTTACATTTTTCAAGACAAATGGTGATTATTAAGTGAGCATACTAAAAGCAATAATAGCAAGTCACAAACAAACTCCAATATCTCAAAACAATGGTCTAGTGTACAAAGTAACAATATCAAACTCTCACATAAGAACTTATTGTTTGAAGAACATTCATATACTAGTATATATCATACCAATACAGATCATAACTTAGCTATTTATTGTCATATTATTTCAAATGTCCGATACAAAAAAGATCCGTCTTCGGAATATTGGCAA